AAATAAACCTTTTTGATTAGTGTAAGGTTGTCCCAAAAGTTCGTAAACATATTATGATTTATTTTGAAAATAGAGCAATCCATAGATAAATCTTTAATTAAAAAGGCATATATTGGATCAAAATATCATTTATTTTACCAATATTTCAGTTGGCTGAACGCCAACCTTTATCAAGGTGTTATAACATTTTAATATGTGTCAACAACAAACTCAGCGCCACATAACGTCAACAGCATTAAGATTTTAAAAATATATATATTTATATTTTGCAAGTGTTTATAAACTTTTGGGACAACCTTGGTAATATAGAAGAATTCTTATAGAAGAATGATTTAACCTCTGATGTTCTATATCAAGGATGGTCAATCAGGAGGTAGGCCAAGTTTCAGAACTACAATGTTGTGCCAAAAGTTTGTAAACACTTGCAAAATATAAATCATAATCTTAATATGTTTACGAACTTATGGGAAAAACTTGGAAATACATATAAACAAGGTATTTCTTAAAGATATTCTTGTTAAAATACGTAGATTCAAATTAATAAATAATTAAAAGCCGTTTTAAAGGACAAAAGCCAACTTGCATACCATGATTTCGAGTTATGACCATCATCAGTACAGGGGTAACATAATTTTAATAATATCCCAAGGGAGCATTCATAGACTAGACCGATCCTACACAAAAAAAAGTTTCAGTTGGAGAGTTGGTAGAGATAGTCAGTAAATATATAACTGAATACAATGAAGTTTGATCAAGGCCTTCTCTTTGGTTTATATAAATTCTACAAGACCGCAGTCACCGTTCGGAGGAGATTAATAGAATCGCCGAATGTCGTGGTCCATTTGGATGAGGAAAGCGAAGACTAGAACGCGGCTGATTCCATACTCGTCCTTTTCAGCGATACGTTAACCTATGCACGGTTGACTCTGTGGCCACTGGACATGTGTCGGACCTGGAGGCTGTTGTTGGGTTCTGTGTTACTGGAGTATAGAAGTTCCATCTATGCTTCCTTCCTGTGGGGAATCTGTATAAGACTGGTGGTCTTAATAAAGCTGTGTGTGTGTGGAGAGCTGGTAGAGCCTTCTTATGTCAATATCACATACTTCGGCAGTTTTAGAGAGAAATAATTTGCTGTTTGGGCGTTTGTTTGAAAAACAATACACACTCATTGACAAAACTAAAGAAAGTGAAAGTCTTTGTTGTCGCGGCTTGTCTGTTTTTTTTTTTTGGAAACAGAGGCAATTTTCTTCACGCATGGTTATCACGTGTCTTCAATAAAGGTCACTGTAATATCTTTCAGAGTTATTATCTGAATCCCGATATTCATACTAAAAGGTACAACCTCCTTAAGTTTTGTCCATGAATGTATATCGAACAGGGTGTTCCCCGTTATATACCATGTTTCAGAAATTCTGACTAGTCAGCCTATTTACTGTATCTAGATGTATATTAGGGCTGAAGCAGTAAACTTATTAACTACTTTAGAGGCTAAATTAGACCAAATGCAAATAGGAATTAAAGATTCGAGAATAAGTAAGTTTCAAAAGTATAAATAATTTATCAATCAAGAGATTAGAAACAAGTTTCTTTATTAATTTAAAATTACTCACCTTTAGAAACTTCTTCCTTTAAAATAATTATATATTTAAGGTCAAAATATTCCAAACTGGATATTTGTTATGTATTGAAGGAGGTAGGAATATATCCAAGCTGAAGATTGAATTTGGAATTACAACGCCATTTGGAAAACTGTGAGGATTTGCCAGTTTTAAATCCAATTTGAACTAATAAAAATTTTGTTGAAAATTTCCTGACAAATGGGAATATCCGTTTAACAACTTCTAAATTAAATAAGATATTCCTGATTTGACTAATATCTGACGATTTCAAGTTATAAAGACAAGTATGAGTGGTCTTTTTAAAAGCTAATACTAGATGTAGGTGATACTAGGACACTAGATGAGCTGCGAGTCATAGTTACTAACAGATAAAGAAACGCAATAGGCAGACGCATTCTACTTCACCCAGTCATGATGGTTGTCAAACATACACCATCAAGAGTTACAACTTGATATCCTAATATGATTGAGTGGAGATAATAAAGAAGAATAAGACGTGGATAATTTTTTTTTTTCATATAATCACAAAAATTCTAACTCGATTTGATAGACACTATAACAACATTTGTACCGAAAAAAAAAACCTTTAAGCAATATTTTAACGCAGTAAGGGCGTTAGGAGAGAAACGTTTTTATCAATTGAAAAAGCCCTGTACGATTTATAAATGAATAAAACAAAGCATCAAGGGCTGCGTATCTTTATTAGAACAAATATATACGAGTTTTCGGGCACATACGCCCTTCTACAGGAATTAATGAAACAATAATCCAACTAGTTTGAAATAAGATTTATATATAAATTTAACGTGCATATCCACGATACAGGTGCATATCACATATAAGATATCACATGTCTGATGGGATACCTTGCAAGTTGATATGCACCTGTATCGTGGATATGCACGTTAAATTTATATATAAATCTTATTTCAAACTAGTTGGATTATTGTTTCATTAATTCCTGTAGAAGGGCGTATGTTCCCGAAAGCTCGTATATATTTGTTCTAATAAAGATACGCAGCCCTTGATGCTTTGTTTTATTCATTTATAAAACGTTTTTATGTTTATCCTTTTAATAGTATCCTTTCGTGTAAAAATTCCATAGTTTCCTTATTAGTGAAAATAAACATTTGCGTCTTATTGTCTTCATTCTTTATACATAGATGGCACGTTATTGCTATGTATTAATTTATGTCTGACTTGTCCTTATTGTTTGCGGAAGAGCGCATTGCTCGATGCAAATATTTAAATGTAATTCTACTGTCCTAAAAGCTTATGTCCATAGTTGACTTAAATATAATTTCTAAGATGCTACCTTTCAATGCAGCATATAAAAGCAGAATAATCCAATACAGTATTAGAACTCTAAAGAAGCGGTCTGATAGATTAAATTGGTGAAACCGCTGAGGGTTTACCACTGATAAGCCAAGCCCTCCCAATATTTTTTCATCACAGTAAGGATAGTAGAAGTTTGATTTATTTGTTAAAAGAAACATTCGCGTCTTAATGTCTTCATTCCTTATAAATAGATGACGCGTTATTGCTTTGTATAAACAACCACTAAAGAATAAAACGACAAATGCTAACTGGGCAAAATCCACTAACACCGTTCTATCGATCTAATAGGTTAAACTGGCTGAAAACGTTCACCCTAATGAAATGCTAACTGGTTTTATTATATACCTTTAATTTACTATTGGATGGCAGCTTATGGGTATTTTTGGGAACCTATGGACATCTTCTTCTTCTTCTTTCTTATCTCTACTCAATCATATCAGGGCATCAAGCTTGTAGAGCTTGAGACTTGACAACCATCATGAATGGGTGAAGTAGAATGCATCTGCCTTTGTCATTATGACTGGGAGCAATACTCAGTGGTAGGCCAACTTAGCTCCAAAAGAAATGGCCGCCTCTGACATGAGGAACAGACGCCATGTGCAGCCGCTCCTAACATGGAGTACAAACGCTGCTCATCCGTATCCCTGGATCAGGAGCCCTTACAGGGTACTATCAGCCGGGCCAGCTGAACCCAGGTTTTTTAGTGAGCTTGTTACTGCTCCCCCTTCTCCTTTTTTCATCCGGGCTTGGGACCGGAAAAGGCGGAGTTGCTATGGACATAAGCTTATATGTCTGTAGAGGTACATACATATAATTTCAAGGTATTGCATCAAGCGCAAAGCTCTACCGCAAATATAGTTTCATATCAAAGTTTTATTTACAAATTATATTTAGAAACTTCATTGCCATATATCAATAAAATCTATAACAACTAATTTTAAGGTAACCTATTTCTTTTTATATCCACAGACCTTACTGCAATGGTAAAAGTTGTTCAATGAGAGTGCTTGGCTCATCAATGGTGAACCCTATCAGTGGTTTCGCCAGGTATATAAGAAAACCAATGCAATACAATAGTAAAGAGGTCTGAAATTAATTTGGCGAAACCACTTAGAGGGTTCACCACTGATGAGCCAAGCCCCTCTTATCCGCAATAACTTTCACCAATGCACTAAGGTCTGTAGAGATAAAAAAAAAAGAAACAAATTACCTAAAAATTAGTTGTTACAGATTTTATTGATATATGGCAATGAAATTTATAAATATACAATTACTCTTTATAGAAGGGGGTCTGTTAAAGAATGGTCTAAACCGTTGGTATTCGACGGCTACGACACAGGTTCGATTCCCGCATTGGACACTTTTTTTTTCTGATTAAAAAAAAATCTCCAATGGCCCCCGATTCTTGCAAAAGTACAACCCTACCAGCGAGTGCAAGTAATCAAACGGGGCTCTGGCATATGTGTAAGTGCAAAGCTGAACTGTTTTCACATGTGTAGACATGTGGTGCACTTACAGTAAAAGCAGTCGCCTACTTCTACCCACCATGATTGCCATGGTCAGTACCACCTGTACTAGGAATAAGCAAAAAAAAAAAAAGAACTCTTTGTAGAGATGTTCTCTAAGGGGAATGTCTTCTCATTGAGGTTCTAATCTATATTTAGAAAATCTCTTTTATAACTAAATCACACAGACACATGCCTTTATTAAGACATTCCGTCTTATACAGACGATTCTCCTGTTAAAAATGAATCTAAAAAGAAATGAGAAACAGGGGAAGAAATTGAATCCTCGCTCAGAAAAGAGAAAAAGAAGAAAAGGAAAGAATATCTATGTACAAAAAACTATATACATCGTTTTTCGTGCATAGAACACAGTGAAGAAGTAGATTGTAAAACGACATTTGAAAATTATCCCGCATGTGTTTCTTTTCAACGAAAAATCAAAATTTATTCCAAGGAGAAATAACAAACATTTCTAACCTTAGGGATGAGGTATGAAAGGATGAATTCTGAAGAGTAATGATAAACGGAAAAATAAAAGTGTCCAGGGATGGGAATCGAACCCACAGTGTTCCGCTTACCAGGCAGATGCCATGTCCACTAGGCTACCATGGTAGATTATTGAGTAAATGGTTGCATCTTGTAAATAAAAATATTTCCACACAGTTCAGTTACTTTTTTAGGTTTGTTTTTCTTCTTGCAGTCGTGAAAAAATTAAAGAACTTTAAAATAGCTGACCCATTATCCATCAAGTCTGAAAGAAAGGAATACAGCGAAAAGTGTGGATGAGCAGCTCTACCGCAAAAAATTTTCTCTTTCCATTGTGAGATACGTACATTCAAATATATTTTTATAACTAAATAAAAAGAATTAACATATCAAAAATCATTTCTAACTAATTAAAAATAAGATAACTATATTATCTAAATACTCAATTAAAAATCTAATCAATTTACTATTATTTTTATTTGTAGCCAGTTAATTATTGTTATATAATTAAAATAATTAATTATCTAGTTATGTGTGTGTGGTATTTCACAAGAGAACGAATAACAAACAACGAAAAAATTAATTATAACGAAATAATATCTCAAAAGAGCAGATAGATATTGACATTTGTGTTTAGGTTTGAAAAACTTGATATGAAAATAAAATTAAAATCGTATTTAAATATTTCGCATCAGAATCCTATATCTTCAACTATCAATAATATATCCTTTGGAATATATTGATTTAAGGAGAGAGAAAATAAATAATAAGAAACATGATCAGGATAAAACATTGAACATCACCACTTTCTACAGAATATTGATAAAAGAAATAACATATCAAGAACAAACTAAGGCATCAGTATCCTATGCAGCCACATTCATCAATATATATTCCTTAGAATATTGATTTGAGGAAATAAAATATTAAGAAACATCAGCAAGAGAGAGATAAAGCATTAACATTGAACATCACCAAATCCTCAAGAATATTGTTAAAAGAAATAAAATATCAAGAGAACAAACTAAGACATCAGCATCTTATAGCTTCAACCTATCAATAATATATCCTTCAGAATATATGATTTAAAGAAAAAAAATTAAGAAACATCAGCAGAGTATTACTCAACAATAAACACCACCAATTTCTTCAGAACATTGATTTAAAAAAATATCAATAACAAACTAAGGCATCAGAATCCTATGCAGCCACATTCATCAATATATATATCCTTTAGAATATTGATTTAGGGAAAGAACGTACATTAGGAACTGCTATTCACTATGGATCCAACTAACAATAAACATCACCACGGCTTCCTCCAGAACATTGATAGAAGAAATAACATATCAAGAACAAACTATGGCATCAGCATCCTATGCAGCCAAATTTATCAATAAATATATATCTCTTAGAATATTCATTTAGGGAGAAAATGTACATTAGGAACTACTATCCACTATGGATCCCACTAACAATAAACATCACCACGGCTTCCTCCAGAACATTGATAAAAGAAATAAAATATCAATAACAAACTAAGACATCAGCATCCTATGCAGCCACATTTATCAATATATATATATCCCTTAGAATATTGATTTAGGGAAAGAACGTGCATTAGGAACTACTTTCCACTATGGATCCAACTAACAATAAACATCACCACGGCTTCCTTCAGAATATTGATATAAAAGAAAGAATATATCACTGAGAATCCCATGGAGTCGGTCAATGTTAATTCCGCGAAGTAACCTGAAGAAAATCCGTATTTTTGCCTCCGGAGTTTAGAGGCAATTTTCCAAATGGTGCTATAATCCGGGCCACGTAAGCACCAGCTTTTACGCCCGAGGCCTGCACCGCATGCCAACGATGGATTGATCAGTTCAGCCCAATCTACATGACAACAGCCGTTTAGACCTCATTCCTTTCTTTCTAATTCATTTGCTGCGGTTGCCTTTTAATAGGGGATCGTTACGTTTACGATATAATTCTCATTAGAATTGTTTTTTTTTATCTTTAAAATATTTATTAAAATATATTTCCACGCAGATCGAAATGGAGATAAATCTTCCTGAAATTTATTTTGTTGATTTTTTTATATGTAAGATATAGAGTTATTAATTTTTAGATGAGGGAATTAATTTATATATAGTTAAACCTGTCTATAGTGCCCCCTCTTCGAACTCACCAAAATAGGGTGCTATAGAGAGGGGGTGTTATAGACAGGTCACTTTTAATGTAAATTGCATCGTACTACGTATTTAAAATCGGGTGTTATAAAGAGGGAGGTGCTATTTAGAGGAGGAAATATAGACAGGTTCAACTGTAATATTAAGAGGTTATATTAAAAAAACTCAGCGCCTTGTTTATACAAAAATGTAATACCTTGACAAAGGTTGACGTTCAGCCAACCGAAATATTGGCATATAAATCTTTTTATTCAATCCAATATATGTTTTTTTACTATCTAGACATTTAAATATAGAATAAATAGTACAAATTTGATATTGTACTGGGATAAGGTACATAAATTATGAAAAAGGCATCTCCTTATCGTGCAACTGAAAGTTGCTGATGGCTTGTACCATCTATAGATGGAGCAAGCCATCAACACACACACACAACTTTCAGTTGCACGATAAGGAGATGCTTTTTTCATAATTTAAATATAAATATATATATATATATTATATAAATAGAAAAGAGATTTTATGCTTGAATTTAGATCATGTTGAGAATTATGGTATGGTAATGCAGTCGTGGTTAAAATCTTGAAAATATAATAATAAAATGGTTTTGATCAGAGATTGTTTTAATTGAGCTTTAGAAGGTATAAATGACATAATTTTATAAAAGTACTGCCTGGCTAAAGGCGAGTAGAACAAGGAAAACAAAAGATTATTTACATAATGTACAAAGGTTTTGAGCCGGCCATTGGGATAAAACAACAACGAGTTTTTATAAGGGAAGAGTGACCTCTGGCGGTCGATTTAGCAGAGTATTTGAATCTATGAAATTATAATTTAAAATAAAATATTTTTATATAACATATATATATAGGTTTCCCTATTTTGAAAATTTATATATACATTATTTGAATAATATCTAGAAAAGATTTCCACATCGATTTCAAAGAAATTACTGTGTTTATTGCAATGTTATAATGAAAAGTATTCATTTAGTGAAACTTTCTACAATTTGTCTATCTTTCTAAACAATTTTAATTAGTTTCTTCTTTTGTTTTCTCAATTTATTTTGTTTCGATCTAAGCTGAATCTTTCTTATTATTATAATCCTAAGTTCTTTAGGAACGATAGGATAATTGAAGAATTGCTCAAACAAATTAAAAAAACTTTTGTTTCTTCAAATACCTACGTAGATAATAAAAAAACGGATTAAGTCCATAATTATATTTGCAATTTCAAAAGATTAACTTTTTTTCTAATCAAGTAAAATAAGACAATTTGACTAGCCTAATGGAAAACAACAAAATACTAATTGATTTTGTAGATTAAACTCTGTCATATCATTTGGATTAGAAAATTGTAATTTCTTTTGATGAGTTCTTTTATTGTATTGGAATGGAGATATTTTCTTGTTAAACTAAATTGAAATTCAAATAGCTTGAAAAGTAACATATTAATATAAAAACTCTACTAAATAAGGAATCATATACAATATATATTTTATCACATAGAATAATTTTGTAAAAAGGTATTTACAGTTAAACCTGTCTATAGCGCCCCCTCTTTCATTTATTTCAACATACAAAACGCGATATCCCGGCTAAGGATAATTGCGTCGATTTACATTTTTTTTTTAAACAGAAACAGTTATATTACGATGCACTAGCGCGCCATCTGTTATCAAAATACAAAACTATTTTAGACACGTATGATTCTTTTTAAAATAAAACAATTTCTACTGCCCTTACTGCAATGGAAATATTAATGGGAGGGCCTGGCTCATCAGTGGTAAGGAAGTTCCAAAAATGCAATGTAGCAGCGGTATGGTAAATTAAACTGGCAAAACCGCTGGGAGGATTCACCACTGATGAACCAGGCCCTCCCATTAATTTTTCCATTGCAGTAAGGGCAGTAGAAATTGTTTTATTTTAAAAAGAATCATACGGGTCTAAAATAGTTTTGTATTTTGATAAACAGTTATAAACATATTATACAAGAAAAAGTAATCAAAAATAAGAAAAGAAACAATAATATATATTAGGAACCTGAACCTTTCAGGTTAGAAAGATAATCATAAATATATTTACAAAAATAGTTAAATCTATGATAATTCTCTCTGCTATTTACAAATTGATATAGATCTACAACATTATTTATTGTCTTTTGTCTAGCGGTGAAGAAGAGTGGGCATTCTAATAAAATAGTGCCCCCTCTATATAGCGCCTCCCTCTCTATAGCGCCCGATTTTAAATACGTAGTACGATGCGATTTAAATTAAAAGTGACCTGTCTATAGCACCCCCTCTCTATAGCACCCTATTTTGGTGAGTCCCAAGAGAGGGCGCTATAGACAGGTTTAACTGTATTACTTTATTAAATTCTAATCCAAATTTTTCACTATATATTAATATCTATGGATTCCTTACAATTTATATATAGATTAATCATTTTGGATATTTATTGTTTAATACAAAGCAATAACGCATCATCTATATATAACGAATAAAGACATAAAGACGCGAATGTTTCTTTTCACAAATAATTGCGGAAGAGCATTGCTCGATGTAAATATTTGAATGTAATTCTACTGTCCTAAAAGCTTATGTTCATAGTTTGCTTAAATACAATTTCTAAGATTCTACCTTTCAGTGTAGCATATATAAACAGAATGATCCAATACAGTATCTGGTAGATTAAATTGGTGAAACTGCTGTGAGGTTTTACTATTGATAATCCAAGCCCTCCCAATATTTTTTCATCGCAGTAAGGACAGTAGAAGTTTGATTTAATTGTGAAAAGAAACATTCGCGTCTTAATGTCTTCATTCTTCATATTTATATTGTTTATATTTTGCTACTCTAGAAACTTCCTTCATTGCTTAACATTGTATTTTATAAATGTTGATTTGTTCTTGCCATAAATAAATTGCTGTGTCATCCTGAAGTTTGTCTTTCCTAATTCTCTACATTACAATATTGTGTCGAATAAATAATTTATTATTTAATTTAATTATTCAATGAAAATATTTGGAAACAGATTTGTTATTTGTAAATCATCATTTAGTTATCTAGCTTGCTTGCTCGATATTCTCTAGCTGTAGATAGTTTGGGGGTTAATTTGTTAATATTTGTCGACTGGTCGTGGCGACGTTATCAATAAATACTTTCACATCTCCAGATATACAAAGACTTGATTTCTACGCTACAATATTGTAGAAAATTAGAAAAGATTAACTTCAGGATGAAATGACAATTTATTTAATACAAGAACAAAATCAACATTTATAAGATACTAGCGGATGTACCCGGCTTCGCCCGTGTTTTACCCGAGTAAAGGTTTGTCTAACGAATCTCTTGATAAAGTGAACATTTTTCCCGGTCCCTTGAAAAATACTCGATAAGTTGAATAAAATCAATATTAATCGGTACCCGAGTAAAGGTCTGTCTAACGAACATTTGTTAAAACAATTCTCTATAAACTTATAAAAATAAATAGATATATTTTGATAATTTGAAACTGATAAAGTGATCATTTTTTCCCGGTCCCTGTGTGCCGTGTCATTCTGAATTTTGTCTTTCCTAATTTTCTACATTACAAAATAATCGTTTTATCTAGTGAACATTTTTTCCCGGTCCCTTGAAAAATACTCGATAAGGTTGAATAAATTCATGGTCGTTTATGGAAGATAGACGAAGTTCCCGGAGGTCATCTTGGGCAAGCTCCCGCGAGGCTTTTTTTCTTGTCTACTTGGCATAGCTGTGTCACCAACTCTGCCCTGATTGGTCGGTGGGTACTTGGACTGTCGGCCGGCGGCCGGGCGAATCCATTCTCTCACGGGGTGGGGCAGACCCAAGGTCATCAGGAGCAGCAAACTTAAGCCTATCTCCGTCTCAATGGTGGCGCTGCTTGCGAGTTAAAGCTACAAATCTGCAAATAACTCTAAGGATATTAGAGATATTCAAGAAATTATTTTTCGTAAACCTTTCCGGGGATACACCTAATAATATCCCAAAATTTCACGGCGATTGGATGTATGGTTTTTGAATCCATAGAGGACACACACACACAGACATTCATTTTTATATATATAGAAGATAGACAAGACCTTGTTCTCAAGTGATGTTTTTATCACTAGATTCAATTGTATATTTTTGTATCCTCAATTCAGTGGACTGTAATTCAACTTTTTTTATAGTTCAACCATTTTTCAAACCCCCCACAAATGGAATTTATCTACTTTAAAATTAGCTAACTGATTCAACAGGGACTTTATAAATCCAACAGGAATTTATTTCTTGAGGTGTTGAATTAAAGAGGTTGGTAGCTGTATAAATGAAGATATTTATTTCTATAGATGGTCTTGCTGCAATCTCCATAATATAAATTTGGTTCTTCTCTCTCTGTAACATTGAAGTTGTGGTTTAGATATACGTGGACACATTTTCTTTCTTTACTCCCCTCTCCTTCTCTCTTGTAGATAAATAACTGAAACAACTCAAAACAAATGGTTTTTTTTTTGCTTATCCCTAGTACACGTGGTACAGGCCATGATAATCATGGTGGGTAGTTAGCGACTGCTTTTACTGTAAGTGCACCATATGTCTACACATGTTAAAAACAGATCGACTTTGCACTTACAAATGTGCCAGAGCCCCGTTTGGTTACTTGCACTCGCTGGTGGAGTTGGACTTTTGCAAGAATCGGGGGCCATTGGAGCATTTTTTTTCTTTAAACAGAAAAAAAAAGTGTCCAATGCGGGAATCGAACCCGGGTCCTAGTGGTCGAAAACCAAACGGTTTAACACACTGAAGTGTAATTGGGACTCTAGGGAACTATATAGTGAAGACTACCTGGCAACAAATACAAATATGTAAATTATATTTCATAAACATCTTCAAATAAAAGTTCCAGATAAGAAAACGTTTGTTGCATGTCATTCAGCACTTTTCAGTAGTAAAAAAAAGGGGGAATAATGATATAAATATAGCTTATTTGGCCATGTTGCCTTGTGATTATAATCCAAATTGTACCATGTTTAGGATGTGTAGGAGAATATTACAATCTTCAATGGGACAATTTTGAGCCTGTAATAAGATTATAAATGGAAAGGAATAAAGTAGGACCACCAACTTAGACACCTTGGTAATGGAAAAAACTGCAATAAACATTAAATTGTGTTTATGTAAAAATATAGAGCTTGGAACAAACATATGCTTCTAGAACTGTAGAAAAATGTATATCTAAATTAAAAGATAAATACATCAAACAATGCTCTTTCACAAATCAGCCTGTTAAGCAACATTTCAAATATCATCATTAATTTCTCTCTATGCACATTTAAAAAAAAAAAAAAAAGGTTTGAAACGAAACTTGTATCACTTTCCCAATCACTAATGCAGGAAAGTTCCGTCTTCAAGGTTTGCTGCTGCTGCAACTGACCCCTCTCTTCCTCAATACCCCTGGTCAGCAGTTAATGGCAAAATTTGCATAAGTGGGGAGTTATTTTACCGAGGTGTGTATCCCGACACTCTCTAAATAGGGTTGAAACTGTAATTCATGCAGCACTACCTTCTCAACTATCCTGACTTACTGCCAACTCACCAGTAATGCGCACACATACATTTTGATTGTTCTGGGGTCAACCAAACTGCTTGGTCATACGTGTTAACATGTAGAAAAAAAGTATACAAAATTTTACCCATTGAAACTCAAAACTAGGATTTTTTTTTATTAAACCGAAAAGTTTGGGAAGCAAACTTTTTTTTTTCAGGTTCAAGTACCAAAATATGCCACCTTGTTGATTGTACTGCCTCTCAAATGTGGATATTTTTTTTATTATAAGCGTGTGAGGCAAATTCTCTAATTTATAAGTGTAATCCAGGTTGTACAACATGCATTTTTTTAAACACCTATTTATATAGCTGTGCACAAAATTATAGTAAAATGATATAATGATAAATATATTTATGACCTTCTTTCTAACCTGTGTGGAAGGATCAGGTTCCTAATCTATCTTATCATTTCTTTAAAAAAACATTTTTTTTCTTGTAAATTGATATTAATAACTGTTTCTGTTTAAAAATTGTAGTTTGATGCAATTATTCCAAACAGGGATATCACATTTTGTGTGTAAAAATAAAGAAATATTGGTACAATTTTGGCTTTAAAATTTCCAATACCTCCAAGAACATAGATATACAATAAGTCTTGGATTGAACACTCTTGGTTTCATCACTGATGAGTCAGATTCATTTTTATCTCATTGCAATAGGAAATGTTTTCAAATGAAAAAACAACAGAATTTCAATTCTAAGCGGCCGATAGTGTAATTTTCCATATCTGGGGAATTATTAATAAGTTAAACTTGAAATTCAATTTTTAAAAGAACTACGTGATTTTTGTTTTCTAAAGCTTATCATTTATTTTTAAAATGTTGATATATTTTTATTTCAAAGTTAATTTATCTGTTTGAGCCTATTGTAATACACAAAAAGATTCTTCTTTCTTTCTTATCTCCACTCAATCATATTAGGGTATCAAGCTTTATAAAGCTTGAGCCTTTTGATGATGTCTGCTGGGGATGAGTAGAGCTCATCAATGGATAAATCAATGCAGTCAATAATGTGCTTTGGGGTTGCAGGTTGAGAATTGCACTTAGTACATAGTGGGAAAACCTTGCAACCATTCTGGTACAAAAAGAATATATAATTTAAACGACCATTAAAAACATTTCACTAACACACACACATTTAGATGAAGAAAATAAAGTTTCTTTTAAGAAACCACTCTGTAAATATATCTATGATTTTCTCTCTTGGTTAAAAAAAACGTAATTGCCAAACTAGGTATATTTATGTGTTTATTTCATTAGTTGGTTGTAAATTCAGCATGGTTACTTTCCTTTCTTTTCTTCTTTAAACTCTACTCAAACCATGTAAATTATTCAATTGTTTATGTAATATAGTCTCTGAATTTAGTGTTGTTTCTTGACGCAAGCATCCCTTGTGGAGATATCGCGTCTTATTTGATTATAAATAAGAAGCCACTCTGGTATATCCGGATTTATTCTTGGTAACCTAAGTCAGATTCCTTGAATCACATGGATTAGAAAGAAGTACACAGACCGAGTTAGCCCACAGGATTGAAGCAGCTTTTACTGTCTCTCTCTCTCTTTGCTTGTTGATTAAAACTACCATATGTGTAAAGGGTTTTTGGTTGTTTTGCAGCATATCATGGCTACCCAACCCCGAATGAACAACCAGTCTAAAATGGTAAGTCCCTATTGTTTTCTTTCAAACAAAGACTTAGGAGAGAGATTCACAACACAATAGTTGGGGGTTCCACATAGCTTTATCCTTAGTATTTTTTTTTCTTTTTTGGAACATACAACAAAGCATTGTTGTAAAAAAAAGTGTTACCTACATTATAAGCTGCTGTTTACACTTTTACTATAACTTCATAACCTATCTGGCATTTTTTTTGGTCTGGGAGGCATGTTAAAAAGAAAGTTATTTAGAAACTTAATTTTTTATTTAAATTAAGATGATACAATTTTATAACATTATTACCCGAGTGAATGTTTGTCTAACGAACATTTGTTAAAACAATTCTCTATAAACTTATAAAACGCACTCGGCTTCGCCCGGGGTTTTACCCGAGTAAAGGTTTGTCTAGCGAACATTTGTTAAAACAATTCTCTAAAAACTTATTTAAAAAAAAAAAGATATATTTTGATAATTTGAAACTCGTAAATTTGAATCTCTCGATATATTGTTATCATCGTCACAATGGGGGCGCTGCTTGCGAGTTAAATCTACAAATCTGCAAATAACTCTAAGGATATTCAAGATATTCAGGAAATTATTTTTCAAAAACCTTCCCGGTGATATATCTAATAATATCCCAAAATTTCACGGCGATTGGATGTATGGTTTTTGAATCTATAGAGTGCAGACAAACAGACAGACAGACATTCAATTTTATATATATAGATAGATTCACTCTTCATTGTTGGCTTTTTATCTTACATTCATTCTTCATTGTTGGCTTTTATATTACATTCACTCTTCATTGTTGGCTTTTATCTTACATTCATTCTTCATTGTTGGGTTTTTATATTACATTCACTCTTCATTGTTGGCTTTTTATCTTACATTCATTCTTCATTGTTGGCTTTTTATATTACATTTACTATTCATTGTTGGCTTTTTATCTTACATTCACTCTTCATTGTTGGCTTTTTATCTTACATTCATTCTTCATTGTTGGCTTTTTATATTACATTCACTCTTCATTGTTGGCTTTTTATCTTACATTCACTCTTCATTGTTGGCTTTTTATATTATATTTACTCTTCATTGTTGGCTTTTCATCTTACATTCATTCTTCATTGTTGGCTTTTTATATTACATTTACTATTCATTGTTGGCTTTTTATCTTACATTCACTCTTCATTGTTGGCTTTTTATCTTACATTCATTCTTCATTGTTGGCTTTTTATATTACATTCACTCTTCATTGTTGGCTTTTTTATCTTACATTCATTCTTCATTGTTGGCTTTTTATATTACATTCACTCTTCATTGTTGGCTTTTTATCTTACATTCACTCTGTTGGCTTTTTATATTACATTTACTCTTCATTGTTGGCTTTTTATCTTACATTCACTCTTCATTGTTGGCTTTTTATATTATATTTACTCTTCATTGTTGGCTTTTCATCTTACATTCATTCTTCATTGTTGGCTTTTTATATTATATTTACTCTTCATTGTTGGATTTTTATCTTACATTCATTCTTCATTGTTGGCTTTTTATATTACATTTATCCGAGTGAAAGTTTGCCTAACGAATATTATATATTATGAAGTATAATAAACAATGTTAAAGATTAGTTTTAATTATTAATCAAGATTGTGTGTGAATATGTGAGAAAGATGTAATATCGTTGTTGTTTTCTTGGCCGACTGTTTTACATATGGTGTTATCTTAAAATTGCTTGTTTTGAATATTTTTTTAGATTGAGTTGAATGAATTGCTGAATTTTTTTTGTATTTATATATAAATAAAATTAACTCTGTTGATTTTTTTTGTATTTAATCGATAACAGCTAAGTTACGCATGTTAATGTTAGGGAAAAATATTTTGATGTTAAGCAAAACCTGCTCCATCTCGTTTTACATAAATGTTGAAAATTTGGTTGAAATCGATGCATTGTAACGGAGGTTTTTAGTGAACAACACTTATGAAATTTGCATTTTATTAATATAGACAAGATAAGCAATGAGGGAAGTTTCCAGAGTAGCAAAAAACATAAATAGTATGAATATCAAAATTAATACTCTCTACATAAAATATAATAAATAATTTGCTTCAATATAATGGAAAAGCGTATCACCTGTTATCTCTTGAAGCTGTATGGTGATGATAAGTTTTGCCATCTATCGGAGAAAATGTCAA